CTGAGTCTCCAACGTCACATCTTTGCCAGCAAGTACTAGACACAACAATCCCATCCGACAACTCTCTCCTCTCTCATTGACTCTCCTCATTCTTTTTAAACCAAGACATTCCATCCATCAGGGATTACACAGAAGGAACAGAAAAGCAAAGCCATTTCTACGGATCATTCCCACTCAGCGCTTCCCTCCCTGGCTTGAGTCACTGCAGTCACAGCAGCTGCCGTCCCTCTGGGGGGCTCATTTCCTCCAGCACAAGGAGTTGACCCATCCATTCTGTCACAAGGTCCTCTCCACTGTGCCCAGCTGCTCAATCCTGAGACTAATTTGGCAGAAAACAGGACTTCAACTTAGTGAGAATCAGGCATTGGATACTATACCAGACTTCCCCTTTCTTTTATGAGTTCCTGTTTTTTTAAGAGATAAGAGGATTTAAAAAAATCCATTTTTTTTTTTTTCAGTTTACCATCCCAAGGTACTTGGATCTAAGCACGGGGTTATTTAGGGAATTGTGTATCAACTGTTCATCTAATATATTTCTCATGCTATAGTCAGTTCTTGGTTCTGGAGTCCCAGCAAGGAACAAGGCAGAAAAGCCCCTTGTCTGATAGAAGAGAATGGTAGAAATAGGGTGCAGAAGATGCATAAGGACAGTCAGAAAATTACCCAGAGGTCCCGTGTACCAGCTAAAGATTTTGGTAAATTGTAATAGAAACAGACTTTGCTTTCACAAAAGGCAAAAGAAGCACTTGACTGGGAACACAGAGAGGTATGCAGAATGGGAGGAAAGGCTGAAGAACTACTGTTTAGAAGCTCCAGAACCATAATAACTTTGATGGTTTAGAAAATTAGAAGTGACAGAGGAACAGTGGTTTTTCAGCACCCCCACCTAAATTATTCAGCTTCCACTTCTCTCCTGGGGCAAGATGCCAAAATCAAAGGCAGCCGGGTGTCAAACTTTAGTCTCATGCCCACCTCTTGGCTAAGGCAGGGCAGGCCATCTGGATTGACGGTTCTTTCACTGGATAGAGTGGTAACTCCCCAAAGCAAAATTGTTGCACAAGTGGAAGAAATGGCTACTGAACAGGAAAAAAGAACAGATGTTTCCTGGTTTTAAAGCATTTTATACACGAGCAGCCCAGGGCTTTTAGCCTATGCAGATATTCTAAAAATGAATGTGATTTTGGCTTTCAGGAATTATATTCACTTGAATCTCAAGGCTGTGCCAACCTCACAGCTCCTGATAGTGGTGAGAATAGGATCGAAGAGCTAAGCTTAGTCATTTTTAGAAGGACACTGAACACTTAAAATTTATTGAGGGTATCCAAGATGGTGAAGGAGCTAGAAAACCAGATCAATGAAGAACAGTAAAATCGCCACTGTAAATAGTGGCTCCGTCACAGTCTGCAGTACTTACAAGGGATATTGCTTCATTATTTGATGTATTCTAAATGAGTTAAATAGCAAGTTTAATTCTCTCTTTAAATATATTTTATTATGTGATTTTAATTCATCAAGGGAAGATGCTAGAACAGTTATCTCAAATCCTGATAATTTGCTATTTCTGAACTTTTGCTTATTCCTCTGCAAATTGACTTAACGAGAGCACAATTGGGACTCTCCTCTAGTTTTAAAATTTTATGTTCTACGTATTCCGCTATATTTATCACTCTCTTATTAAATAGCTACATTGTAAATAATAATATTACTAACATGGTACCTTCACTTGCCGAAATGTGTCTTTTGATGTATTTTTTTTCCCTCAGAGTGCTAAATTAAATTAGCAGATTAGAGTCCTATAGAACTCCTGCTTCAGAGATTAAGTAATGAGAAGCACAGTGATTTATAGATAAGGTTAGGACACATTTCATTGTGTCTAGTCATACTGAAGTATGTTTATTGCCTCTTTTGTAATAATTATGCATCAGATATCAGACTCTATTAAATAACTATGTTGTGAGCATCACAGCAAATAGGAAATTTTATATTTATCTGAATGTTATCTGTGGTGTAAGGCCTATTTGGTACTTAGCTGAGCTGGTGTCTTAAAAATAGTTTAGATAATGTGAGCATAGAAATGCCATGATGAAATCTAAGATCTTCATTTCAAGAGTAAGAAGCAATTACGATTTGCAATTTAATTAGGAAAACACAATTAAAGGAATAAAGAGTGTCTATCCTCCTGCTGAATATTAACATTCACCACAAAGGAAAGCCTCATGTGAAATGTAGTTGTGGCTAATTAGCTACAGTATATGGGTTGGAACGAGGGTCTTGCTCAGGGCCAGACAGTGAAGTCCTCAGGGGCTGGACATCAATGATCATTTAGGAGGCAGATGCTTAGAGTTACATAACTTGGAATATGCCTGCTTATTGCAGTATTTCACAACACACAGCGAACGCCCCTGTATTTGATATTCAATTATCTAGAAACATCCTACATGTGGCCTTATTAATAAGGAACTGCTGATATGTTAACTTGAAGTGAATACAAGGCTAAGTTGTCTGACATCTGCAAACAAGCTTAGTAAATTTTCAAGATGCTGGACCATGAAGTAGAGTTGTTGGAAAAAGGAGGTGTAACCTCCTGACCCTGGAATAAAATGAAAAGCTCAGGTTGCAGCCCACACAGTCAGAATGGGTGAGGAAAAGCACATGAAGATAAACCTCAAGAATCTTAGGTTCTTGTGTTCTACATTTGGATTTGCCTCTGTGAGTTGTATAACTTTAAGTAAGGTTCTTTACCTGTCTGGACTCTATTTATTTTACCTATATGAGGAATGAAGTAGTCACTCTCCAAAGGTGTTTTAAAAGCATCACAGATTCAGGTGATGGTTTTATTGTTGTCTCAACATGCTGGTGTTTTTACATTAAGCACTAGTCTAAGTTTGAGATATAATCACTGACCAAAAAATCTACAAAATTCCTGCTCCCATGGACATTCTAGTTAGTGCAGGCTCACACAAAAGCAGATAAATCAATACATAGTACATCAGGCGCTGGGGATAAGTGTGATGAGGAAAAATGAAGCTAGTTAAAGGTTCAACAGGGGAGTGCTGTTTTCACTGGGGAAGACCTCTCTCTGATAAGGTAACATCTGAGGAGCTTTCTAAATGAAGGGAGAGAGGGGGTCCCCACAATCTTTGGGTAAGATCTGTTCAGGGGAATGAACAGTTAAGGAAAAGGTCCAGCAGGAAAAGAAAACTTGGGGTGTTCAAGAAACACCAAGGAGATCTGTGAGACTGCAGTGAGGAGTGGGAGAAGATGGGTATGTGGTGAGGCCTATTCTGGTGCTAGAAGAATCATGGGAATTATTATGCTTCATGTTTCCCAGGCTGGAAAGCATGTGGGTGGCTGGCTGGAATTAAGGAGACCTCAGTGGCTAATGTTGAACTATGACCACATACTTGTTGGACAGGTAGGAAAATTTTAAGCTTTATTTGTGGTCTCTAAATGAAATCTGCTGGGCCAGTGGATGCTGTGCTGAGGAACTGGAACCTTGATTCCAGCCTAGTCCTGCTTCCTGCCACCCTCATTCCCCTGTGCTGGGCCCTGGGTCACCGCCTTCTGCCCTGGCCAGGACTGCTGCCTCCCTCACTCCAGCCAGGACTGGCATTGTGCTGCCACTACCCACACCTGACTGGGTCCTGGGAGCAGTGGTAGGATTTCCCTCCGGGACAGGCCCTGCCCTCTGTGCACCCAGTCACTGGCTGTCCCACCCCTAGACCCCACCCTGAGATTCTGCAACCACTTTGCTGCATCCTAGTGCTTTAGGGAACTGACAGTAAAACCATGACAGGTAGAGATACACTCTGCACCACACAGGAAAGGTTTTTTTTTTTTCAAGCTTTTGGAAAAAGGGACCACTGCTCCTCTCCTCCCTCCCCTCAGCACCCCCTTCCTACCTTTTTTGGCTAAAAATAGTGTTACACCCTGTAGGGCAGTGCTTTCTGCTGGAGACCCTGCAGCGCCTTGCTTAAAACCCAGGCTACTCTGGGCGCTTTCTCATGGGTCCTATTGCCCTCTGCTGGGCAGACTAGGCATTAGCTCTACCTCCAAATCTGAAGAAAATGCTTCCACATCAAGAATTTCAAAACCAACTTGAGGCAATAGTTCAATCATCTGTGTACTTCCTCTGGGCTTTTGAAGTCTGGTGCAGGTTTGAGTAGCCAATTCCAACATGAATAGGGTAGGTGGGTTTTTTTTGTTTGTTTCAATACAGTGATCAGAAACCCTTAGTATTTCGTGTGTGCACGTGTGTGTGTGCATTGTGGGCTGCCTGTGGAGCGTAGGGGAAAGGTGAAGACTGTGAGGAGAGGAACGTGATGAGCAAGCAGAAGCGCATGTCTCACGCTGTGCACCAGGCTCGTGCTCATGACAACTTGCAAGAAGAAGTATTACATTTCCCACAGAAAGCGGAGTGCCCATGAAGTTAAATAATTTGGCTGTGGTTGTTAATCTAGTAACGGAAGGTTTGGACTCAGCGCCAGAGCCACCTGACACTGAGGTTCCATGTCCTTCTATGCAAGGTAGTTGTGTAATGAAGGACTCTCACCCTGATTAGTTTTGTAGAAAGCGAAGTTATGGTGACTTCACAGATTGTGTAATGCTGTGGCACCTTACAGTTTACAGATGGCAAAGCTGCAGACCCAAGGAGTGAAGTGGTTTGCCTTAAGCTAGGTGTTTAGGGGAGGAGCTAGACTTAGACCCAACCTCTAGTCTCGCTTTTCCTGATATGCCATGTTGCTAGAAACACTTCATTTTGAAAACTGAGGACAAATGATTCTATTCCCACTGTCGACTTATCTCTTGTGTTGTCTTTGGGGCTCACAGTAACTATCTTGCGTGAGAGATATTTTAAAATTACATGGTACAAGTGTTGAAATGGTTGTTCTTTGACCATGGTCTCTCTGCCCAGGAAAGAGAAAGTTCATCAGATGGACTGTCCACTGTCTTGTCACTTTAACATCACTCAGTGCAACCTTCAATGTGAGTAGCCAACACTTATTGAGAAGCTTCCATGAGCCAGCACCGAGATGGGGACTAGACTACCCAAATAACTGCAAACGGGGGACTCGCAGTCAAGTGAGAAGGTAAATATGAACGCACACTGCCAAGCGAGGCCTGCAGACACTGCTGTGGGACACAGAAAGAAGAGTAACATATTCCTCAGGGAGAATTAAGGAAGGTTCCATACAGGGGCAGATATTCACAGCAGGACACCTTCAATGTGAAATGCTATTCACACAACAGTGTTCTAGTCCTTGTGATAGTGAAACATGTATCCTTCAATTCCAACTTGTATAGACAAAGGGATCATGAAATAATCCAGGAACTGGAAATAGTGAGTTTTTTTTTGTAAGCAATTGAATTATTTTGGTTAATCAGGAGCAGAGACGTGGATTACTAGAGTGGTGAATTTCTCTAGAGGAATTGGGCAGCAAATGAAAGCTTAATTTCAGCTTGGTTAAAGACAAAGTAATTGCAATAATTGAATTGGTATGCTAATCTAATTAAAGTTTTAAAGCAAAACAAATTGTTAGGTAAAAGAGTGGCTATTACGTAATCTTAATGAGCTTTCAATTTAAACATTTCCCCAATTAAAAATAGGATTAATTTTAGGGCTCCTACACATATTGCATTGAGCTTAGGAAAAATAATGAGGACCTAGAAATGATTAATATACCTCTCTTATTCCAGATAGACTATAGAATTTTTCTAACACTTTAGAAAAACAGATAATGGAGTTGATTCTTTATTAAATTTCAGAACTGGAAAACACTTTTAGTTTCTAAAGCAGTCGAAGTACAGAGGAAAACTATACAAATTTAAGAGCATTAATTTTGTAATTAAATAAATATGCAAGAATGCCAGCATATGTGGAAATAGTAAGGAAAATATTGGGTGGTTTTACTTATAGGAGGCATGTAGGGGAACCAAATAAGACATCAGGGGGGAAAATAATAACAATGCAAATCACAACAAAAACAACCAGACAATTATAAACCAGAGACATCCTGCAGAGGAGGAGGAGGGAGAAAGATCGGGAGGAGGAAGGGAGGTGCACAAGGGACTGTGGTGATGGTGCCTGAGTGAATTGGGGGAGGAAATTCTGTGGGGGCTTCACCTGAGGGGGAAAAAAAGAGCAAACATCATTTCAAAATGAACATATGTACAAATATATCAAAAATATTAGCTGTAATTATGTATATTATATAATTTAATAATTATAAAAACTGACAAGAAATTCTCTAACAGTAATAGATATATACTAGTCAACTCTTACAAAAATTTTATAACAAAGTCCCTTACAACTCAGTGGCTTATAGCAATAGCACTTACTCTTACAGCATGAGGTGAACTCTGATTTGATTGACTTAGGTCGGGCAGGGCTTAGTGACTGTTTTAAACTGCAAATTTGCTGGGCTTGCCAGGGATGCAGTTTGGTGACAGTTCTACTCCAAGTGTCTCTTATCGTTCTGAGATCAATGATTACTCAGGGCTGGTTCTTATGGGGATGGCTAACAGGCCATCTGAGAAAGCACAGTTAGGACTTTTGTTTATAGCATGTCTGCTAACATTCTGTATTGGTTGAAATATGTCATATGCCTAAGACCCACATCACAGGAGCAGTAAATGGTATTCTATCCACAATGTGAGGGGTACAGGAATCAGTCCAACAGATCAAAATGGGAAAAAGAAATAAACTAGTAACCAACAAAGTAATTCCTCCCTCCCCCAATTAGCAGGCATATGGAAAGTTGATTAATCCCTTTAGGAATGTAAAAACTAGAAATTATGTTGTGATATCACTCATTACTTATTCAAAAAATGTGTTAAAGAAATTAAGTCACTTGGTAGTAAAGATTCTACACAGCAAGAATAATATGTGATCCAGATGGTTTTGTAAGTTATTTTAACTAAATTTTCTAGAACCAGATCATTCCATCTAATATAAATCCTTCCAGAGAAGTGAAAGAATGAAAATATTCTTAATGCATTTTATGACATCAAAACAAGGTAAGACAATAGAATAAGAGAAAATTACAGTCCAATCTCACCCAGAAGCACATTTGAAACAACAATAAATGTTATCCTAAATAACATTTTATTAAGTAGAATCTAACAGTGCATAGAAAAGATAGCAAACCACAACAAATGTACCCCACTGGCATGAATTTTTAAGAGAGATATTTTTAGCTAGATTGGTCTAACTTGAATCAATAGATCATCTAGTGACACAGGGTCCTTCAGTTTTGCTAGGTCATTGATGAGAGCAATCTATGGACATTGGACCATTCCCAAATCTGCTCACCTAATGTGAGGAAAACCTTCAAAGAAAGCAATGTTGCATTAAGAAACCCCCTTAGGCCTTCTAACAAGCTATCCAGACACTGCTCCATTATTCCTGAGAGCAACAGAATCTTTCTTTGAGTGACTTTGTATCCAGGACAAAGAGATGGGTTTTCACCCATCCTGCAACAACCTGCCATACCAGATGTGTAAGAACCATATTGACAAACATTTAAGAATATCCAAGTAAATAGAATGATTTTTATATTTTTGGAAAGGAATACTCAGAATCATGAAGTTGTTTATTTTCTCCAAAATTGAAATAAAAACTGAGTAAAATTTTCATACATATTGACAGGTTGGTTCTAAATTCTTCATGGATGAGAAAAGGGTCAAAAACAATCTAGCAGTATAACGTAGATAGACTTGTTTTAGTGCATACAAAAACTTACTATAAAGATGTAGCATTTATGCATGGAATTTGGTGTAGAGACAAAAAAGCTCAGTAGAACAAAATAAGAAGTTTAGAAAGAGGCTTTTGATAAGTAACAGAAATAATATCAAAGATAACTGGGGAAGAAGGGACTATTTAAAGATTGTTCTAGAATATATGAGTATCCATATAGATAAGATTGAAATTGGATTCCCACTTGACATAAAACACAAAACTCAATTCCAGTTGACTAAGTACTTAAAATGAAAAAGGCAAAAACTTTAGTATGTAAAGAATGAAATAATGGAGAATATCTTCTCAGAATTTCTTAAGCAAGACACTGAGACTCATGAAAGGAAAACTCAATAAATTTGATTACTTTAAGACTTTTTCAAGAGAGATTAAGAGCTTGCTAGACAAGCAAAGGCTGGAGGAATTTATTACCACTAATTTGGCATTGCAAGAAATACTATCGAGACTATCTAAATTGAAAAGATAATAAATAAAAGCAACCTAGCTTGGGGGAAATCCTGGAAGAGGAAAGAAAATCTGTTGCTGCAATGGCATTAGTTAATCTTTTCTGATTGCTGAGTGTTATTCCAGTGTATGAACACACACACACACACACACACACACATCTTCTTAATCCACTCATCTGTTCTGGGGCACTTAGGTTGTTTCCATAATTTGGTCATTGTATATAGTGCTACAATAAACATGGATGTGCAGGTTTCCTTTCGAATTAGTGTTTTGAAATTTTTGGATAGATGCCTACGAATGGAGATACCAGGTCAAAAGGTAGATTCATGTGCAGTGTATTGAGACACCGCTGTACTTCTTTCCATAGAGGCTGGACCAGTTTAAATTTGCAAACATTTTAAAAGAATATTAAATGAAAGGTGAAATTGCTTTTTTTGTACTTGATGATAGCTGTTATCAATCTGCAGAGCCTTTTGATGGGGTCTCTATCTCCCTCTCTATATAGATCACACACACACATACTGTATCTATGCTATAACATATAGGTATATGCAAACATACTTATAACAGACACAGGTATAATTTACCATCTCTCTATATAGTCACAAACATATTAATATTCTCTAAACTAGCCATTTAGTTTTGAGGAGTCAAGGGTATAAAAATCTCTAAAATTTAAAAAAAAAATTGAAAAAGAACACAAAGATACATTTAGCAAGCATTTTTTGACTTTGGAACTTGTCACCTTTCTCCTTCTGCCTCGAGGCTTTTCCCCTGAGACCTGCAACCTGAGGTCCTGTCTTGTTGTCCCTTTTATTTCTTTCACAGTCCCTTCACAAGGCATAATTATCAGGAATCCAGATTCCCTATGAGCAGGAACCATGCCAGCACGGTCTTCCCACTGTGGTAAAACAAAAGTGGGTGCCTATGAATACCTGTGGAGAAGGGAAAGCCCACTCAAAGAGGAAAGACCTTTTTGGACCCTTTGAAAAGAAAGAATGTAAGTAATATATGATTTTTTTTATAATTATGAACATTTTATAATCATGTTTGAATTTTTGGTCACTCTTTACTCCTCCCCAGAGAAATGCCTTTCTGAGATCCAAGGCAGATTGCTAGGGGATTCTCATTCTCCGAAGAGAGCCTCTTGTTAAGTCTTTTGAGGTTAGGTTTTTAGCCTATATAGCATTACATAACAATTAAGGAATCTGGGATGTTAGAAAAACTGGTTTGAACATGTCAGATTTTCTGGGAAGGGTTCTTTATATGTTGTAGATAAATGGTGTTAAAATCTACACCCATATTGTTCAATAGGCTTTGCTAATAATAACTGAAATTTATTCCACCATAACTATGTGAAACAAGCCCAGGAAAGCTTTCTTTGTCTTTTAATATAAAGTATTTTAGTCAGTCATAAATTAATGTTACAGTGAGAATATCTTCTCAACAGACTCATCATGCTTTAGAAATTCAAATGCAGCTTCAGGAGGGCTGCAGCCATTTTCATTCTGATGTTTCAGTCATGTCAAATATAATTGCCTATGGGAATTTACCTTAGGTCTGGAAAGAAAGCAGAACTTTTATAGCAATTGAGCTGTCTCAAATTAAAAGAAAAACTGAACAAAACACAAACACAAAAAGAGGATGTGCCCAGTGGAGGTGAAACCCTCTCAGCTCAGCTGTACTAGGGTCTTTAGCACATTAAATACAGCATTGAAGACTGTTAACACATTCAGAGGGGAAAAAAAGTCTTTAAGCTGACATTAGAGCCTAGTGTGAACCCCAGGCAGGTTTCAAGATTGTCAACCAACTATGTAACATACATTTAAGGGAGGTTGTATTGATAGCTTTTAATAATTGTAGCCAATGCTCAAGAAGCCATACCTAGAGAGAGGGAAAGACTGATGTGGAAGACCAACTCCAGGATTGCCGTCAGGAGACAGAGAAGGCTGGCTTTGCGTCTCTAGTCTTTACTCTGCCTTTTCACTGGATAAAAGGTTTTTTTTTCCTCTGGGGAGCCAGTTTGGTGGTCACAGAGGCAGCAGAGGGGTGAGGAACAGCTGGGAGCTCCAGGCCTCTTATGTGTGGACAGGAATTTGAGGAACGATGTGCTTAGTCTTTGTATGGTCCACTCGCCTAGGAGCTGGGCTGTGCTTTGAAGGTCTGGGGAGCTCTGGGGCTCAGTCACTGGGTTGGGAGATGTTTACACACCATGCAAGCCTTTCAGACCAAAAGCCTAGGAAGTAAGAAGTCACCAAGTCTGAAGGAGGCAGGGAGAACCTCACTGCCTGTTGATGCAGTGGGTGTTGTTGTTGTTAAATATCTCCTTGCTTCTTATTTAACTTTGATCACTGGTTACATTTTTAAAAAGTTGTCATAAAATATACATATAAAATTTACCACCTTAGCCATTTTAAAGTGTAAGTTCTGTGACTTAGGATGTTAACTTTGTTGTGCAACTGTCACTTTCGTCTCCAGAATTCTGTTCTTTTGGCAAAACTAAAATTCTGTTTCCAGGAAACAACTTCCCATTCCATACTGGCTATCATGAAAAGCCGAATTGGTTGCTGCATGATCGGATAAAAGAGGAGTCTTCTTGGAATGCAGAGGATTCACTGGGCATCTTTTTGTGCTTTCATGCCCAGCAAAAGCAATGAATCAGCAGCTGTAGCAATCATAGCTCAAGCAAGGCAAGGCAACTAAGAATTCAGACCCTTCTGGAATGGGAAGTAGAAGAGGAAGACATTGATTGTCAGTGACCTAGGAAAGAGGTACAACAACAGATGTGACTGTCACCTGTTTTACCAACCCAGATGCATTTGTCTTTGTAGAAGTTGCGGCTAACCACCACTATTAAGGGAACCTCATGGATTGTACTTAATGGAAAGCATAAGAAGTATGAGTGGTGCTGAAGCATGGTTTCCTGAGATAAGCAGCCTGGACATCTTAGTAGCAACCTTTTGTGCAGTTCCTGGTGTGCAACTTAGTCCCTGACATGAATCTTGCTTCATGTTATTGCCATGAGGCAGAATAGACCTGGGCAGGGGCCCTATGACTACTGATCCATTACTCACTATTGGAATGCAGCTATGCAATTCACCTCTTGGTACTGAGCCACAACTCACCACTTGGTATGTAGCTGCCAATGCAAAACCACCAGGAACCTTGTAGAAACTGAATGTGTATAACTGAAAGCCCTGACTTCCTACACACAGGGCTCAGCCTTTGGGTATGAATTTGCAATCAAACCTGCTTCTCATTAGCTTTGGTGTCCCTTCTACAATATAACAGTGCAAGGAGATAAATCTGTGATGCATTTTATAAAATTGTGGCCTTTTAGAACAGTGGCTAATTCTATAATCACTGTTAATATTGGCTACCCTTTTTGTCTTGGTTTTCTCATGGATGTCCTCTGGGATCACTTCTCAAATGAACTACCTGTATACAAAACTGTGTCATGTCCTGCTCAGAGGATCCATACTATAGTAACATAAATTTAATGCATATCTAAACTCATTAAAGAGTAAGAGAAATTGACCAGGAACTAAAAGGAAAAGATAGCCAAAGCTAGAGTGGAAAGTGAGTACTCAAGTAGTTTGCATATAAATTAGAGTTTTAACTGCTTTGGGGTGGGAGATGAGGCTTGGTTTATACAGGGGGAGATGCTAAAACTAAGACTTCTGTATAAAACCTTTAAGGCTGCATCATCACTGAAAAGTTGGGGCTGTAAAAAGATCCATCCATTGGTAAAAGGAGCCAGAAGGAAACCAAGTATGATATTGAAATAAAAATTACCACATATTTTGAGGAAACAACCCACAATAAGCAAGTGTAAACAGAAAACACAAATAACATTAATAGACCCTTGAGATCTTTAGGTACTGAACTAATCAAATATAAACATTTCAAAACAGGTTTACTGAAATTGAACAGATAACTGAAAATATGACATAAAAATAAGAGACTATGACAAAACATGCAAGTTGAAAAAAAACAGACTAAAATTCAAAGAAACAAATAAGAAACATTAAAAAGTTAAAAAGAACTGAAGAGAATGTCAAGTCAAATTTAATGAGTGGGATAAAGTGATAAAACATTACTGATGAGGAAGTAGGGAAAAGGAAAAGAGATGAGAAAACACTGGACAGAAGATGGTCATTGGGGTGGGAAGAGAGAGAAATAAAAAAAAAAAGCAGGAAGGAAGAAAAACAAAGACACACACAGGAAAGAATAGCAAAGTATGGCATATTTCATTGGAATTTCAGAAAGCTAGAATGTGGCAAGTAGTAGAAGATAGCTTGGAGAATTTCCCAAAATTGGTAAAAGGCAGAATTCTTAGATGCAGGAAGTACAATAAATTACAAATGACAGGTATAGAATAAAATTCACACTTAGATATAAAGAAGCAAATTGCAAGACAATGAAAGATCTTAAAAGCACACAGAAAGGAGATAGATCACTTCCAAAGGAGAAGCAATTGGTTTAGATTTGACCCTTAAGTAGCAGCCATGGAATACAATGGAAGTACATTTTCAAAGGGTTGAGGAGAAAGTAGAATTGTAAACATGAATGATCATTGTGAAAATCAAAATAAAACCATTTTTAGGAAACCAGATTAAAAAGTTCATCACCAGAAAGCATTCACAAAAGAATGTTGAATGCTGTACTCCAGAAAGAAGGAAACTGATTCCGGAAGATCTGAGATACAAGAATGATGAGCAAACATTGACTAAAAAGTAATAATCCCATTTAATTTGCAAAGTAAAAAAAAAAAAAAGCTAGTGAAATATTGCATGATATATAAAATGGTAGGGCATAATTAGAGTTTAAGAGCTCAAAACTAGTTTATTGTTTGGGAAAGGCATTAGAGATATAGATTTAGAATTTCCAGTTACCTATATTTGTCAGTAGTTTTAGGATCACTCCTGGAAGAAAAATTCTTGTTTAACAGAAAATATTAAGTCAAAAAAGAAAAGAAGATATATAAAAAAACAGGATTGCACTGGACAGTGGTGATGGCACATGGGTGAATTGGTGATGGGAAGCCCATGGGGATTACAACTGAGATGGGAAAATGCACAAAATGCATATATATATATATATATATTTACAGAAAAAACCCAGGATTAATAGAAAGCACACAATTATAGGTTGGAAGTAGTTTCATTATGTAAGTAATTGATATTTGGTATAATTACATATTAATTATATAAGTAATTAAATGAAAACTACGTGCAATTGAAAAAAAGATTTCAGATTGAAGAAAATTAATCAGGTATTACAAATTTGTATGGAACACACCTGAGATGACACAGAAAGATTAAAATAGAAAAAGATATATGATTATAATTATTAAACATAAGGAAACTTCTGTAGCAATCATTTTTAAAAACAATTTATTCCTTTAATTGTGGTAGCATTAGGATTCTCTTCTTTAGCTATCACCACTATAGGGGCCTTCTCCACCAATGTAGTCCTTTGGCTGTTGCAATATTTGTATATAAAAAAAATATATATATATATATTTTAATCCCCGTGGGTTCCCCATCACCAAATCACCCAAAGTAAAATATATTTTAGGGTAAAAATTATTAGGGAGAAAGAGGTCATTATAATGTGATAAAATATATTATTTATTAGAAATAAATAACATTTAAAAAATAACCCTTTTAATATAGATTTAATATATATAAAGTAGGGTTGCAAAGAGAAATGGACTAACTGAGCATCATAAAGAGGGATTTTAATGTTCCCCTTTCAAAAATGCAGACAAATAATTAGCAAGGTCATATAATATATCTATATTTGGGCCCAAAATTAGAAAACTTGATCTAATGAACACACATAGATCTGTGCATCTAAAAATTAGAAGACGTACACTGTTCTTGAGAGCATGGCATCTTCATGAGCTCGCCATATGGCAAGTCTCTATCAATTTCAAAGAGCCCCAAAGAACTTAGAAATGAATAACAAAAAGACATTTAAAAAAGTCCCATACATTTAGTACTTAAAAAGATCCTTCTAAATAATTTATTGTTCAAAAAAGTAATCATAATGGAAATTAAGTATTTACAATTATAATTTAATATAAAATCAACAATAATTTAATAATGTATAATATAATATGTACTTATACTTATCAATTATAATATATCCTTTAAATTAAATATACTTATAAATTACAAGAACTATAATAATTATAGCATTATAATATCCATTATACATAATCTATTATATTATTAATATTAATTTATATTAAATTATAACTTAATGATATTGAAAGCAACACATATAAGAATATGAAAGATGATGAAATACTACTCAACTATAGAAAAAAGGTGAACTCATGCTATTTGCAGCAACATAGATAGAACTGAAGGGGATTATACTAAGGGAACTAAGTCAGAAGGAGAAAGATAAATACCATATGATTTCTTTCACTTGTGGAATATAGAGAAACAAAACAAAGAAACGGCCAAAATTTAGCCCACCTTCATGTGATGACTCAGAAGATTAGTTGTCTGGGAAGCTGGCTATCACTAGATAACTAGTTTGCCTGTGCCTTGATGTTGGACTTCCTGACCTCCAGGTTAGTGAGAAAGAAATGTCTACTGTTCCGAAGCTCCTCAGTGCATGTTATTTCCGCCATGGCAGCCAGAATGGCCTAAGGTACCCGACTCCTGCCAAAGCATCATTCATGACTTGCAGACACTGCTTTACTTTTCTTCCTCCTTCGTTGTTCACTGGCATTTCACCAATTTGTACAAGCAATTTGTGCAGCAATTTTATGAGATGAATCCCTTTAGCCTACCTAATGCTCCTCAGATTGGTAATACAATTCTGAAGACCTGCTCGAGCAGACATTGTAGCTGCACCACAGCTCTTGGTGACCTCTGCTAGCTCTTATGGCAAATTGGGATTCAAGTTGACAGTGTCCCAGCTCAAAGATGCTGCCATGACTCGCCCTGCTTCCCTCCCTGGGGCTTTCCAAGCTCTAGGTTCTTGGAGGTGCGGGAGTTATGATGTTCAAAGCAACCCCTTCCACAGACTATGTGTTAGCAGGTAAATAGGTAGTCTCATATTTTGGACGTGACAGTGCTGGGAGGACTTCTGTAAGCTTCTTAGAAGCTTTGTATTAAGCTCAGTGTTGCTATGGTAGTGACCTTGACCCTACATCTTTATATTGACTTATTCCCCATGTCAATATTTTAGTCTCATCATTCCTACTTCTTGGTATCACCTACCAAAATAATCTCTCTGCATCCAAATCCTTCTATCTGGTTCTGCTTTGGAAGGGAAACTACACGAAGATTACTACCAATGATGTTTTTCTCTCAAAAGAACATTCTACTTTTCTTCTATAATTTCTAAATAAATCATAACCAAATGTTAAAATGGGACTTGTCTTGAAATAATAGTAGGTGACTGTATGAGTTTGGGACCTTGAGAAGAAGCTGCCGAGAGGAAATGTACAGAGGATATAGGGGAGAAATTGCCTGTGAGCTAGTGCAGGGGAAGGAGGTTGGTGTGCAGATGAGAGAGGCCTTCAGGCTGACTTGCAGGGCTGACACCTGTGAAAGGAGAGAGGGAGGAGAAGACTAGGTAGGAAGAATTTCAGGCTGCAGAGAAGTTCTGAGGAAGCTTTGGCTGGGTAACAGGGAGTTGTGGAACAAAGGTTGCCCATTAGAGGAGTCCTGCTAGAGGCAGAAATGACCCACCCACTCAGCCTCGGGCTGGGGATAGCTGGGGGACATGTGAACATAGACATAGAGGACCCAAAGGTGTGACATCTGGAGGCTGTCAGTTGTACTTATTATATTTGAGAGGCACACCCCCATGACCTCC